GGTTCGCCCAAATAAACAGTTAAATCCCAACAAGAAGTGTCCTGTCTTCGGCCACGTCACGACCCCGTGACAATATCAAGGGAGCGTACGATAACGTGGTTCAAGAGGAATTGTGGGGAATACTGAACACACTAGGCGTGGAACATGTAGTCACTAATCTTTTAAAGGGTATCTATAAAGGTAACAAGGTAGTTATAAAGTGGAAAAAACAGGTATCCAAGCCTGCAGAGGTAAAACGGGGGCTTAGGCAGGGGTGTCCCCCTGTCACCCTTATTATTCATGATGTACCTACAAGCATTAGAGGCAAAATTAGAAGGAAGTGGGCTGGGCTTCAACCTCTCTTTAGTCAAAGAAGGAAAACTTATTGATCAGGCACTACCAGCATTAATGTACGCAGATGATATAGTGCTAATGGCCAACAACAAGGAAGATTTGCAGAGATTGATGGACATCTGCGGTAATGAGGGAGATAGGTTAGATTTTAGATTCAGTAAAGAAAAATCAGCAGTCATGATTTTCAATGACAACGAAGGTAGTGAGCTTAGGATACAAGAGGTCACGCTAGAGATAACAGATAAATACAAATATCTGGGCGTATGGATAAGCAATGGGACCGAGTACCTGAGATAACACGAAATATACATGACGACTAAAGGTAACAGGAATGCAGCAGTGATGAAAAATAGGGCACTATGGAATTACAATAGGTATGATGTTGTGAGAGGAATATGGAAAGGGGTCATGTTTCGTGGGCTGACGTTCGGCAATGCGGTCTTGTGCATGAGATCAGAAGTTCAAACAAGATTAGAAAAATAAGCAACATGGAATAGGTAGGCTTGCTTTAGGAGCTCACGGGAATACACCAAATCAGGGAGTACAAGGTGATACGGGATGGACATCATTTGAGGGCAGGGAAGCTAGCAGCAAGATAAAATTTCAGAAGCGATTGAGAGAAATGAAGGAGGAGCGTTGGGCTAGCAAGGTTTTCGGCTACTTGTACATGAAGAATGTTGATACAAAATGGAAGAAGCGAACCAGAAAATTGACTTGTAAATGCTTAGAAAACAGCAGGGGGAAAAACCAAAAAGAATTATCGGTTAGGAAGAAGGTGAAGGAAGCTGAGATCGATATGTGGAGAATCGGCATGATTAAGAAGCCCGCACTAGAGATCTATCGAACTTTTAAGCAGGAAATTGCCGAGGAAAAGATCTATGATAATACTCGTGGTCGTTCTCTACTGTTTGAGGTCAGGATGGGAGTATTGCGAACCAATACATATCGGGCCAAGTACGAAGGGGTAGACGCGGTATGCAGTGCATGTGGAGAGGAGGAGGAAACTGCCGAACACTTGATAATGTTCTGTAAAGGGCTTCACCCTATAGTTCAGGAGGATGGCGCAGTTTTTCATAGCACTGGGGTTTAGGGACAGGGAGGGCAAAATAGTCTTTAAGCGGGTAGAATTAACTAGAAGGAGGTTATGTGATTGGTGGCTAAAGTCAAGACACGAGTGAAAATTAAACCCTTCACTGCAATGTACGAATCCTCAACCTCATTATTTAAAAGAAAAAAAAATCTAGTTTGTTGTTCATTAAGTATTACGGCTTGGTGGCACTAGCCACTGCCCTATCTAAAGGGTACAGCCATATCCTTCCATCCACCCATCCATGTTCTATATATATATATATATATATATATATATATATATATATATATATATATATATATTATATGACGCAATGTAATTTAGACACATATCGATTCGCCGGGTAACGCTTGCCTCAAAGCGAAAAGCCGCAAAGGCCATTTGTGGACTATTGCATGTAATGTAAAATCAATTCTCGCAACATATGCAAGGAATTAGCCATTTTAGGGCCGAAGCTCCTAAAGCCGTGGGTTTTTCCATGCATGTCTTTTGTGACCAGTTCGTTGTTGTATAACTCACTCAGCAGGTGGCGCTAGTGTTAGTGACAGACAGATGGAGGGACGGACGGATGCATAGACAGAGAGACAGACGCACGCATGGACGAACGGACGCACGGATGAATGGTCCTTATTGCCAATGATTGCATCGTGCAGCACATGCTTTCCAAATACGCACTCAGATGTATCCATATGCAACCTACCAAAATCATGGGATGTGCACAGACTTTGTGTTTTCAAGCTTCCCACTGCTGCCTCTTTTCGATTCATTTGACGCCCCATAAAGTCACAATATTCAAGGGATCTCGCAATCCAGCCGCCATGACAAGGAAGAAATGAAAAGAACGAAGAAATGAAACAACAAACAAACAAACAAAAGCAACATTTATGTTGATTTGTATAATATATGCGAAGTCTTCAGTCTTTATAATGATGTAATGGGCTAACTTTTCAGGGGAGAGTTATGGTTTTTCGATGATCTCTCCCTCTCGAGCTTCGCCCACATATCCTTCATTTTATGGATATGGCACGATTTTTTTAGATGCTTTGAGTTGCTTTATTGGGTTGGTATAAAACAAGCGCCAGACACTAGAGAGTAGGCTAATGCTGCCACGGGAAGCTTACATTATACCAGTGAATTCTATTCAAGATGGCCAAAATAATTCTCTCATGATAGCGAATACATTTGCTAGCAGAACACGTGCGAAGCTGAGGTTATGAAATTTTTCGCCGATGGTTGTTTTCAGAAGGAGTTGCTCTTCGGTCACCACAGTGGTAGTAAAAGCCTTGCAATAAAGAATGCGCACCATCTTTTCTCCCCATATTCATACGCACGCATGCCGAAGCGTTCCCATTTGTAGCCAACCAAGAAATTACCCCCCCTCCCCCCCCCCCCCTCCACCACATTTTCTTTCTACAGTGAGAGCTGTTGTGAGATCGAAACCCAGGTCAAGCGCAGTTGTCCACCACTCTGGTGTCCGTAACCGAATCGTGTGAAATTAGAAAAAACCTAGCACCAAAGACACAGTGGGGCTCGAAACCCGGGTCTGCTGGGTGCCAGCCTAGTATTTAACCACTGAGCTATGCCAGTGCTTGTGTCTTGTTGGAAAACCTAGCCCCAGAGACACAGTGGGGCTCGAACCTGGTTCCACTGGGCCCCAGTCCAGTATTCTACCACTGAGCTACTACAGTGTCTAGAAATATACTGCCTAGTGTGCTAAGCGCGGGCTAGGAGATGGTCCGCAGCTGATGACTGCCGGCGGCGCCCGCATGGTGCGCTGCTGTGCGAGTGGGTGCATTTGCGTTCAATCCTTGCTCTCCGCAAGCGCTGCCAAGCCTGCAGGAGGCCGAGCCGGGCGAGGCCAACTATTATTTTCCTGTATTTTCGAAGTGTTTTTTACATAATGCTTTATTCTATAAGAACGACTCGATTGCTTTCACTGTACTGGCGCTTTACAATACCAAATGAAGATCATTTCGTGGCATACATTTCGCCATTCGCTACTGCCCCCCCCCCCCCACACACACACACAAAAAAAAAACGCAGATCCCACGTAACTTGGGAATCAATATGCTATGCAAGGTGACTCTGTTGTAATTTTTTATTGGGAGAAACATTATGAAGTGGCACTAAATATATGCGAGAAATTGGATAGTCGACACTGGAACCAGCATTGGCGTTTCACGAACATTTGGCTTTTCTTGCAAAGTATTTCGAAGACCCTAAGCGGGTGATCGTGAGGGCACCCCAGACGTAGGCGATTCGATAGATAGATAGATAGGCAGACAGACAGATGGACGGACGGACGTATGGACAGACAGACGGACGGACGGATGGACAGACTGATAGACAGACAGGCAGACGGACGTACAGACAGACGGACAGGCAGACTGACAGACGGACGGACAAACAGACGGAGAGACAGACAGACGGAGAGACAAAAGGACGGGCGGATATCAGATGAAGAGATAGATAGGCAGATAGATAGACAGATAGATAGGTGCTCAAAGTGGTTGCAGTATGCAAAGAAATTAATTTCAAAAACCATTGACAGTAGAACCACCAGAGTTATTTTTATGACAATAACAATATATATAAACAGATCGCTTTTTCATTTGTATATTCTCAGCAGAGCGCACACTCTGAGAATGTATACAAATGAAAAAAGCAATCTGTTTATATATATTGTTATTACTTGTCATCTGCAACACGTATATTTTACATACCAAGTATCTTTGTAAGAAAACTATGCCATTTGTAATGCCGCAATTTACACGTGTATCTTGTAAAGCCGTATCACTTGCCAATGACTGACACAGGGTGATACCACACAGTGCTGTATAGATATATTTTTGAACACTGAAAACCGTTTTTGTGCTGATACAGAATAGCCTTGTTTGTTATACTAGGGGACGTGTTTTTACGGGCCTCGATGATTGACATATATAAGTATATGATTTTTATGCTGAAATGTTCATTGTGTGTGAATTACGCTTCTATATATATATATATATATATATATATATATATATATATGCCTGCCCACAAACGTCCCCCCCACACTTATGATATACTTCCGGAGCCCCTGCAAATGTGACTAGCAAATGTTTAATCAAGGTTATACAGGTATACATAATCACTTCCCCTATAGCAGGAGTCGAAGATGACCACTCTCCTGGCAAAGGCATCTTCAAGTCACCCCGCCGTGTTGGCTGTAACACTCTGCAATGTGCTGGCAGTGATGTTTGAAGTTTTCCTAGAAAAGCTGGCATTGAATTCATGAACTGTCTGGGCTCATTATTAGAGACACGACCCTTCAGATGCTTGCATCTGTTGTTAAAGCACGAGAATGTTTCAACTTCAAGATTATGCAGCCCCTCTCATATGAAATTCGACAGAATGTTGCGGTTTTCGCACGTAAAAAAAAAAAAAACGAGAGCAGGGCCCATGAATTTTACGGCTTCCTGAATCTTTTGTCAGAAACTGCACAAAACTTGGGCAATATGTAACAAATCTACAGAGCAATAAACAAGCTCAGTTTTAAGAGAATCACCCTGTACATGCACTACACAACAACACATAATGTGCCAAGACCACAAGTTTATTCAAATGAAAACAGTAGTACAAGAAACCTCACAAGAGGTTTTGCTCAAAAAGTATACCAGGGAAATGGAAAGAGCTCTGGCACAAAACGATAAAAAAAAGCATAAGCCCCAAAGATTATAATTGCCCCAAATCAATTTATGAACTCAGCGTTGTCAATGGAAAAAATAAACAACAAAAATATCCCTGCAAAAGCAAGACCTCCACAGCAAAAAAAAAAAAAAATTACGAGGCACCAACAGTGACAGTGCACTGAATAACAAATTGAAATTGGTCCAAATGATAAAGTGCAAACATTCTCAGCAACTTCATCAAAACTGGCAAAAGCCACAATACACTGCCAAAGCACAGAAATGCCTACTTCCTAGGCTGCTGGATAATAGTTGGCTTGGAGGAACAGGCCCTATACTCATGTGATGGTTGTGGCTTGTTGTGGAACACCTGTACTGCTTCTGGAGGAAAATCTGCATCTCCCTAAAAAAAGCCAGGCAAAGACAAGAGCAACAATGCAAGAAACTGCTTCTTAGTGTAGCTCAGATATCTTGCATTCAACTAACTGCATGATAACTTGTGTGCTGTATACGCATGATTTAGGTCACATAACATTCATAATTGCATCATCGTTTTGGCATGCAGAACAGCATTTTACATTCTAAAACCATGATGCCAGTATGAAGCATGCCATAGTGGAAGACTCACTTTTTGTTAAAATTTGGTCAGCAGTGAATTCTAGTAAAAAATATTCTATTTTGATTTACCCTAATCGAAGAGCTGTCGCATGATATGGGTTCAGCATAAGACTGCCTTATAACATCAGTTTTTAATGCATTATATAGAAGAGTTTTCACCAGGATCAAACTAATTTGTCATAAAATGCAGGTCATAGCTGAACACATATAATCGAGGTTCTGCACTCATCCCTCGCTGCTATCTTCATTTAGCAAACACAGTGAAGAAATTTGTTTGCTTACAAAATGTTTTTCAACAGGAAACCCATGCATCAAAGCATGAATATGTATTTATTCGTGATGAATTGGCTGCCTACTACTCACGGTCGCAGCTTTTGTCCCAGTACAAAACTTTGGCAAAAGTTTCATGACCACAAGAACTGAAGCACCCTGCTGCTACCTCCACCAAAATTATCACACTTAGGAAAGGATTTTCCACAGAATTGATATAATGAAACTTTAGGCAAGAAGAATGGTTACCATAAAATCGGTGCTAGTGATATTTTTTTTGCCAAGAGTAACGCCAAGGAAGAGAGAAATGGCAAAAGTTGAGCCACCCAGACCACAGTGCTGTAAAGGGGTATAGTGTTTGGCGGCAAACTATTTATAATGTTGTTGGGCCTAACTTCATATATATTTTTGTGCATATTTCACAAAGCTCGACTGTGTACTTTTGCGGAATTTTCTTGTTTTGTGTCAAACAGTATGTGTGTGGCCATTTTCATGACAAATTTATTCTGTGCGACAAGGCTATTGCTTTAGGTCATATAGCAATTTCCAAGCCCTATCTAATCAATTCAGCCTTGGGCACACAAACCTAACAGGAGTTACTGTACCTGACAGATAGCGACTGGTTGAACAGCGAACACATCCACAGACATAAGAGAAACTAGCTTCAGGCACAGCTTCCAATTCAGTTTAGCAGTATATTTGGTTGAGACCATCAGTGCTCTAGCTGTGATTGCAATAACGCAGAGCTCGCACTTGAACTGTGCCAGAGACACCTAATCATTATCATCAGCCTGACTACGCTCATTGCCGAGAAAAGACCTCTCCCATGTTTCACCAATCAACCCGGTCCTGTGCTTTCTGCCGCCTGCAAACTTCTTAATCTCATCTGCCAAACCAATTTCTCTGTCTCTCTCATGTGTTTGTCTTCTCTTGGAATCCAGTCAGTTACCCTTAATGACCAGCGGTTTTATGCTAGAGAGACCTGTAATGGTCCAAAAAAATTTTCAACCTAGGGCCCCTCGTATAACTGACACATTACTATAGATAGTACTACCAGATACTACAAAAATCTCCAAGCCTCTCTCTCTACTGTCACTGTGCTCTATCCAAACAGACATAAAATGGGGGTCGTAGCAACCAGTAACTGCAATTGGGATTTGTGCGTGTTTGCAAGTTTATGGTGAAAAGAGGAGAGCCCGACAGGAAACAGCAGTGGCGAGCGAACGTTTTGAACTGCATGGACTTTTTTTTTTATATGCAAGTCGTATGAACAAGGTTCTGTTGTTTTGATAACTGGTTCTTGTATTACTGTAGCTTTTATGTGAAATTTGGTTGAGGCAGTTTATCAGGCAATATATGGCCTCAATAGTACAATTGGGGCCTAGTCAAGTCAAATGTTAGATGTCGCCCAAACAAATGAGGAGAGTTGACAGGTATGCAGTGTGTGCTGGTTGCTTGAGCACTATTTTGAAGATAACAATGGAGTAGTGCAAAGTGAACCATATTTATAAAACAATAGTTATTAGGGCTCCTCCGTACATTACAGAAAAGTACTACACACTTAAATCACTGGCACTGCTATGCTGAGCTGAAATTCCCTACAAAGCTTAATAAATTTCGAAATCTAAGAGTGCAAAGTGTGGCAAGGCAGTCAATGTATGGTGTAGACACACAGGACATACATACCTTGGCAACCACTCCCGAAATGACAAGATGTGGCTTTGGAGGGCTACAAAGGAAAATTAGCAGGTTATCAATAAACAAAGCATCAGTAACAACAAATTATTCACATCACTGCTGACTCAAACCCGTTTCACTATGCTCAGTGAATGACAAGCGCACTGCTGGCTCTGTGATGAAGGTTTTCAACCCATTTCCGCTATGCTTTAGGCCAGCGTTTGGAACTTTAAAAGAAAAGTGCTGAAGTTAAAACACATGTATTGGTTATATTGGCTGCTGTAGTGTGAGATCACGCCATGCACACATATTTTTATTTATTCAATACTGCAGACTCAAGGTCCAAGCAGGGTGGTAATACATATACAAATATAAATAAAATAATTGTGAAACGAAACAATAAAGGGCGAAAAAGGTTGTCTGGTAGGGTAATTCATTGATCACATGTATTAGTAAGACAGTTCCATTCACATATGGTTCTTGGCAAGTACGAAAACTTCAGTAGGTTTGTGCGAGTGAAGTATGGGATCAAGGTCTTTGGGTGGTGGTGTCGGGTGGGCCGGCTACTAAGGGGTGTCAAATACGGGGATGGGTCTACAGCTAGTTTCTTGTTCAAAAGTTGATCAAGGAATTCTAATTTAGCTTTTCGTTTTTGCGCCTGCAGTAAAGGAATGTTGTTGACTACATTTAATTTGAGGGTGAGTATAACTTGGAATACTTGTTGAATATAAATCTAACAGCTCTTCTTTGAATACGCTCAAGAGTGTATATATCACGTTTTGTATAATAAGAGTCCCATACTATGCTCGCGTACTCTAGTTTTGATTGCACAAAGACAGTGTAACAAAGTAGTTTAATATTCGTGGGAGCACTTCAAAGTTTATGTTTAAGAAGACATAGTTTGCAAAAGGTAGATGAACAAACATTATCAATATGGAGATTCCAAGATAACTTAGAAGTGAGTGTCACACCAAGGTATTTGTAGGAGTTTACTTGTTGCAGTGGTGAATACCCTAATATGTATATATATAATTGTGGATTCCCTTTGCGAGTCACTGGAAAGCACATACATTTGTTCACGTTGAGACACATTCCCCATTTGTTGCACCATTCATATATATTGCAAAGACTAGTGCTCAGATCGTTGAAATCGTTAGTGGAATGTATTTCTTTGAACAAAACACAACCATCTACAAACAATCTTATTTCTACACTATGGTGAATAACATCAACCATATCATTGATATACAATAGAAAAAGCAAAGGGCCTAACACACAGCCCTGTGGTACGCCCTATGTGACTGGAAGACAGTCCGAATATTGGCCCCCACATCAACGTACTGTTCGTAATTATTTAAATACGCAGAAATCCAACAAACGAATATTTCTGATATACCTATTGTTCTAAGTTTGGAAATGAGTTTACTATGGGGAACTTTATCGAAGCAGAAATCTAAGAAGAGCATATATGTCCTACTGTGTCTATCGATGTTTAATGCAAGAGAGTAAAACAGTGTGATTCGTGTCCTTCTTGTCTCTGTGTCGTCGTTTTGCTCTCGCGCTATAACTGTCGTCATTACCAGTTGAGTTGCGGTAGATAATTCTTTTGGAAAACCATGTTGATACTTGGTTAATATAGAGCGTTCTTCAATAAATGTGATCATACTAGTAGCTATGATATGTTCAATAATTTTACAACATTGTGAAGTTAGTGATATTGGACGGTGATTTCCTAGTGCTCAGCGGTCTCCCTTGCAACAAAAAATAATAACCAAAAACTTTGCTAGAGATAAAGCATACCATCACAGGAATCCGTTCGGTATGTTATCAGGGCCACAAGATGCCTTAGCGTTTAAATTTAGCAACATAGACACCACATCTGGTTAAGAAATAAACAGTGCTTCAGCATAAAAAAAAGGCTGTAGCATTAGATATGCAGTTGAAATCGGAAGCGTTGAACACACTCTGGAAATACTGATTAAAATGCCGGGCAATGTCTCTCTGATCGGTGACGTTGGTTCCATCAATTGATATTTGCGATACTGGTTTTTTCTTTTCACTGATAAAATTCCAGAATTCTCTGGGGTAGTTTGCAATAAAGTTAGACAATGAGGTTTTAATGTAATACTCCCTAGAGCTGTGCACAGTTTGAGCGAGACTGTTCTGCACATCCTGTATCAAATCAGCCGCTGCCCGCCTTTTTTTTTTTTTTTTCAGTCGCTTAACTTTGTCCTTCATATGAATGATGTTGCGATGGCATTAATTTTTTGTGTTTGGAAGGCACAAAATTATCTAAGCAAAAATGACATTTGTTTCATTTTTTTTTCATTTGTTTCATCATGTAGATCATAAAGCAGTGATCACCATAGTTTTTGTTGTGTCACAACTTCCACGCGCACCTTTGTTACCGAACGAGCCCTGGCGGTCTAAGTGGTTACCCCTCTCCCCCCGCTCGTTACAAGCGAGTAGTTTCTTTACGAAGTTCGGCTGCCACCCTCGACTAAAAATATACAAGTTTTTACCCATCCAGACAGTCTATGCTTTTTGGACCATTGCGCCTCGCACGTATGTCCTTGGGCTGACGAAAACTCCAGGTCCGGATGTCTTTAGACCTGATCCCCGCCATAATGAAATCGTTTGGAGTAGAAAACCGAGCTAACCGGCGAATAGCTGTTGACGTTCCGGGGCTACTTGACACACTTTCACCGTCTGAGCTAAGGTCTGATGAATCAGTCATTTCCAGAGTCTTCGATGCTACCACCATCACAAACTTCTGATGCAGACTCATCAGAATCTGTTGAAATTCGCTGTTTCCGAGGGGCAGCCACGTGCGACGTCGACGCCATGTTGAAAACAACAAGCGCTCGTCTAGCGCGATGTCTAAAGGCGCTTTAAAAATCCCTTCCCCGATGAAAAAAGAAAACAAAATCGAAACTAGAGAAAGAGTTCTCCTTTTATGCACTGGATTGCGCTAGTTGTCCCAGAACGCCCCGAACCCGAGAAAATGTTTATTGAAGCCATCAGCAGCATACTGTCGATGAGGATAGACGTGGACTAATGTTAAATAACAATTTATGTCAGAGTGAAAGCTGAATGCATGACGTCTAAAATGACAATATTATCAACAGCAGTGTCCTACTTACCGAGAAATTAGGGTAAATGCACGAGAACACATGTGCTATGCATAGGACATTCTCAAAGTGATTCCGATGACTTGAAAGGTACCGCCTACAATTAATCGCTAGTAATAGAACTAGCTGCACTAAATAAAGAACCTTCTGTGCATTAAGAGACATAATAAAATGCTGCCTGTTCGTTTCTGTTCGATTCACGGAAAAAAAAAATCACCAGAGTCAGAGGTTACTATGGGGGAATGGCACGAGTGGTTCAAAAGTTCAATTTTCGCTTTGTTAGACTGGACCCGCTAGATTACACCATCTAGCACTACACCAACTAGATTACACCAAATGGGCCCCGCTAGATTACACCATCTAGCGGGGCCCGGTTGAACCAAGCACACCTGCCATCTTGCAGGCCATGGCAGCAAATGGTTCATTGGTCATTGTTGCTGCTGTGGCTTCTACTTTTATTCCCTTGCTACTAGCACCAGAGGCTGCGCAGTAAGGCCGAGCAACGTTGTGCACGGCAACAGTGACACGACACATTCCGCTTGAGGCAGGTAACTTGAAGTGCACTAACTTGATGCGGGCCGCTAAAACGTAATTTTAAGCACTTCCTTGGCACAAAAGTAACACTAAAAGGTTTCTGTACTACTATTTTAACAATCAACGTCAACTTATTCGTTGCCTTTAGTGCCCTTTTAAACGCACCATTCCATAAGGCGAGACTGGGACGATCCAACTACGCATTGCACACTTTCTCTTCAGACAGCACAATACCGTTCAAAGCACCACAGGGCAAACGCCAGGGAGATGGATGTTTGGACGAGAAATGAGAACCCAGCTGACAACAACGCCGCATTGCGCACTTTCTCTTCAGGCAACACAATACCGTTCAAAGCACCACAGGGCAAACGCCAGGGAGATGGATGTTTGGACGAGAAATGAGAACCCAGCTGACAACAACGCCGCATTGCGCACTTTCTCTTCAGGCAGCACAATATCGTTCAAAGCACCACAGGGCAAACGCTGGGGAGATGGATGTTTGGACCAGAAATGAGAACCCAGCTGACAACAATTGTCCCGGAGCCCTCATCGGAGCCACCATCGGGGGGAAAAACTCCCGCGTAGCAGGAGAATTGAAATTGGACAATGTGTATATGCGTGCCAATTTAAAAAAAAAAAACGGCTGGGCTGAAGTGACAGCAAAGGCGTAAGTTTGCGGTCACGGCTCGTCGACATAGGCAGAAAGGCCACTCACCGCCACCTTAATCAGCTGCGAGATTCAGGAAATTTGCCAAGGGAGGCTGCCTTTCAAGCAGCACCCTGACTAAAGTGTCGTCACACCTAGCCTGGCATCTCACACCAGATGAATCGGCGGCACCACCAGCTGGACCTGAATGCAAGGACAACGACACGGAGGAAGCCGAGGTTTCTCCGAACGTGCCCAGAGTGTCCACGCACCCAAGACGATGCCCAGACCACTTCCAAGCAACAATCTAAGGAGGAAGAAGATGCTGTGTCCCGACTCCAACGTCACCTTTGTTCTCAAGGGAGCCCCGACTGTCAAAGCGGTTCACCGTACCTTCAGGGGTCCGGTTCTGAACTGCTCCCCTCTCATTACAGGCGAGTCATGACTCGTTTCTCATGAAGTTCAGCTGCCATCCCGCCCAGGAATGAACACGCTTTTACTCGTCCAGACCATCTATGCTTTCTGGACCACCGCGGCCTGCACGTACATCCTTGGGCCGACGACAACTCCAGACATAACAGTTATAAAATCACATAAAAGTGTATACATGTAAAAGTGTGTACGAGTTGTGTATGCAAAGTAGAGTAGAATTTCAAAATGTATACAGTACATCTATGTTGCCTAAACAGCTTTGCTGGTGATCCATTCCCACATGAATGCTGGGGCACCACAAATTTTTCCTAACCTGGACCCCTCTGAGACATTCGGGCCGCTTGAAAATTGGGCCTCTATGCACAGACACCCTTACAAGCAAGCATGATTGTTACATTACCAATGCTATGCTTAATTATGCTGCAAAGGACAATGCCTCGCTCTGGTATGGTACGCACTCTCAACCAGCGAGGCCAAGCTCTACATATGCAGACTGCACCATGCAACCCCTACACAGGCAGAACTTTTGGCCATGAGAACTGCCTTACAATACTACAGTAAGTGTTATACATGTTCCTCTGAAACAGTAACAAAAACTTGTTCTTCATTCCTTCCCAATTTTGGGCCAAGTTCTCACGACAAGTTCCTTTATTGCCAAAGGAACTTGTTACATACAGTTCCACTTCAGAAATTGGAACGTGTCGTTACCATTACCGCAACATTTGACTTTTCTGTCAAAATGTATTGTCTGGCGATCCCGAGGTGAAATGAAGAGAGCAATTTGAAGCTAACACCTAGCTACACATATTATGCGAATTTCACATTGCCAACAGCAGGTTATATATAGATGAAATCAATATAAATAAACGCTCCTGGAAGAATTTTTTCTAGACCAGTGGCAGGCACGTTTAGCTCCATCTTTTGTGCTTGTCTATTACAACTTCAACACATGTGCCACTTTCCACATCCGTCCTTAGGTGGGCAGTCAGGATACTGCACTACAGATATTCAAATGGATATTTCCACACCATGCCTTAATATAATTCAATTCCTTGCACAGGATATCACGTCGAAAGGAACAATACTTGGGTACTCAAACGAGTGCACATTCAATATTTCAGTATGAAGAAAAAATGATGTCCAGTATGCAGCCTTGCCACTTCCTAAACTCCCTTTTCACAATCAGCGAATGTATTTTCAAATATTTCTTTCTCTGCATTTTTCTTTCTCTATTTCAGATATCTTTACCTCTCCATCTCCCTCTACACTGATTCTCCCTCCTCACCCTAACTTTCCTTGCCCACCTCCTTGCTATATACTATACAATACAAGGCTATGCTATGCTCCACTAGTGTGCGAACATGGAAGAGAAACCTAAATCAATTAGTTTCCTCATCAGCCCAATTCATTAGGATGGTCAGTCAACTAGCACATGTATATGAAAAAATAGAAATGAGTGACTGATTGATATGTGGGGCTTAACGTCCCAAAACCTCCATAGGATTATGAGAGACGCCGTAAAGAAGGGCTCCGGAAATTTTGACCTCCTGGGGTTCTTTAAAGTGCACCCAAGTGTTAGCACACGGGTCTATGGTATTTTTGCCTCCATCGAAAATGCGAACAAATGAAAAGTTGGCAAGAATGGTATATTGCACTGTCATTGTGATTATCTTTACCACTGGAGTAGTGCATAACTAAAAAAGGCTGTTACTTTGTTTATTTGCTCAGGAGTTGAGTGCGAATTCTTTAGTGCAATGTGTTCATTATTCTGCCATAATACGAGCAGAATGAACAGGATAGTTCTCTATCTTTATTGAATTCCTTTCAAGAGCCACAACCATGTTGAACAAATACCCTGGAAGAGAGAGAGACAAAAGCAAAAACAGGTAGTTGAGTGGTTACGACGCTCACCTTTAGGTCGTGGGTATGCGGGTTCGAATTTCAACTCGCCAAGAACTTTTTTTCGTGTCTAAAATTTCTCTGTACTAGTTCCCTTGCCCATCAGTTATTGCATCCCACGCCAAACTAATCGGTTAAAGTGTTCTCGGAGTGAAGCAGAAGAGGACGAACAGGACGAAAAAAGAGAGTGCCGCTTCACGATCATGATAACTCATATATACGACACAAGAGCTCTGTAGGTAAAAAAGTAGCTGTTCCTCTTGCCAAGGTCAGTCTCGGCGTTGCACGCTTTTCTACACCCCCAATAGGCACCTTGAAGTGTTAACCAGAATGCACCACAGTCACATGACAAGCGAGCAGTACATTTTTCGCGCCTCAGGCGGTTGCCCATCCACCCTGTTCTGCATTACGTGCCGCTTACGTACACCTGTTTAATGTCATAGAACGTTTACAGAAGTTATGCCATTCCCTCTGCCGTTCTTTCGTACATTTAAAGAGTTTCGATTAAATTTCCACCGATCCTGAATGTAACGGTGAAGTTCCTCCATTCATTTCAAAAGGAACTAGTTTCTGGAACGCTGTTTCTTGGAATGTATTAAGCATTAAGAAAGAGAACCCCGACATGAAAGATTGCACGACTTTATGCATCTGCCAGATTCTCCGGCAAATACAGAATAAAACTAGCACTATGCCATGGTAACCTGGACATTAGGACATGCTGGTGCCCAAGCGTGAGGTAATAAAGTGGCCCACGACCTAACACTTTACCTTATCTCGTATCTCTCCCCAACATGGGTCTCCTGCTGTGGCTCCTTTGAAAACTTGCTGCCTAACCCTCACTTTGAAATAGCATTAGTGCAATGCTTTCTCTAGTACCTTAAACAAGAGAGACTCCCCTTCGATCATGGCACATACACCGACATATTTAATGACTTTACCTTTTGCTTGATCCCAGGAGATTTTAATGATGTGGCACTTGCAAACAACTGCGACCTCTGATGTAATCCATAAATAGTGGACTCTTGCCGAATGAAGAAGCACATTGACACCACTGCCCACTGCATAACCTTTTGTCACTCTTGACACAGAGCCTACACCCATCGGTGTGTAACACACTGCCTACTGTCCATACATATGAAAAGAATGCTAGTGTTTTTCAACATAGCTTGGCAAAAGAACACAAACACTACGATCAGACTGTCCTATTAGCCCACTTAAAGGGGCCCTGAAACACTTTTTCAAGTAACCATGAAATGAATGCAGTGGAAGAGCTTATTGCTTCACGAATTCAATGCGGCAACAATTTTAAGAATAACCATGAAATGAATGCAGTGGAAGAGCTAATTGCCTCACGAATGCAACGCCGCAACAATTTTAAGAATCCGTCCAGTACGAGAGGAGTTACGAATATTTGTTGCATGCTGCAATTGCATTCTCTCTTCTCTCGTCCCGACGAAAGCGCTGGAAGCTGGAACCTTGAGCACTATTTTCTTCTTTTTTTTTTCTTCGAATGCGCGGCTTTTTCGGTGTGATCACACGCGCATGCATGGACAAGTCGCAGCCTGCCGTGGCGATCTTTGTAATGACCGAGCGCTCAGTGTTCAAATCAGCCATTGGCCAATACATGGTCTTTCAACGAGTGATTTTGGAGCGTCTTCTGTCATTTATCGAGAGAAAAGAAAGCAATTTTTTGCCGACTTTGATCATTTATTGTAAATTCCAGGCCATATGCTGCACTATAATATTTGGCTCGCATGTCGTCGGGAGCCTCTACTACTGATCGGCAGCATTTTCTGACCATGCTCAATAGTGTTGCAGGGCCCCTTGAAGAGTTGCTAGTGACTTGGCACACAAGTGACTTTGCATATGCTTAGTTTCACTCCAATTTTTCCTCCTACCTCAAGAGAGAACTTTGGTCCCTTTCTTTCTTCAGTGAATTCATGATCACTGCAATAACAGCAACATTTTATGCAAGGAGTCAACTGTATTAGTTCACGAGTTACATGTATTGTATTAACAAAATCTGTACAACTCTAATTCTAGTGGTAAAGGTGCAGTCGGCAATGTGTTTTCTTTCACTGCAGCATATCTGCAGGTAGCCTGATACAAAAGAAACTGCGCGACGTGCAATGTAATTATGCCAGCATACTTTTAAACGGAAATAAAGTGAACACGAAACTCTCCATAGTGTGCATGTAGATACATACATTAACACAAAACACAACATCATCTACTAATTCATAAGGATTCGACAATAATACTTGCCTTGGAGAAACCTCTTCAACAACATCTTCTCCGTCATCCTTTTTTAACTCGGGGGCTTTCTCGTGAGTACTACCTGCTGGCTTGTGCTGTGTAATTCGCATGCCACCGGCCTTAACTGTAAACATAGGAAATATTGTAGATGAATTTCCAGTGAGTACTCAAGGTGTTTACACATCACACTGATTTTCGCATTTATAACAGTAAGTTATTGTACAGGCCAGCCTGTTGAAAGCAGCACAGATGTTATTTCAGACCCCACTCAAGGAATGATTACCTGGATGTAAGACAATTCTGCAAAGATGCATGGTTAGCATGTTTATCTGGCTGTGTAACTGCTTATAGATTCAGTATTTGCAGCTCCAATTTCACGAGTCTACTTGTCATTCCAGCCCAAATTGCTCAGCTCAGTGACTACAGAATAATTCTAATTTATACAAAAATACAAATGCATTCCCATTTTTAGGGCCCTTAATCACCAACAGACGTTTCCTTGCACCTCTTCATGCGTTTCTTCAATTGAGAACAGCCATCATGTATGAATAGATGATGTTGCGACCAATTGATGCTGTCAGTAGGCCACCAAGGGCCTGTTTTCTGCTAGCAGATATACACGCTTCTTGCATTTCTACCTCAGGTGCTGAGGAAGGGCCCTTAGAGAGGTGGATTGAAAGGCAACCAATGCGGCCTAACAAAGAAAAGAGTGAAACGAGGAAACGCACGTAACTCTGCCAGCGTTGTGAGTAGAGTCGTGCACAACTGCAACCCCACAACTAAATTTAGACCTCTAGGTGGTTCAAGTGCCCTTTAATCTTTTTTTGCCTCGAAAAAATAAAACCTACCATAATTGAAAGAACTACGCATAAAAGATTTCAGTAACAATGAAATTTTACATGTTGCTTCAAAAGTGTGATAAACGAGGACAGTACGAAGAAGAATTATTTAAGAATCGCCATAAATGTGTTTAGTATGTGAACTTAGTGCAGTCAAACCTTGCAGATATGTTCCAGTTTCATATGATTTTTTTGGTATGATAATACAGTTTTGAAACAAAACTGTACAATGTTTTAGTAAATTATGATCGTACCTTTTCCTAGATAGTAATTTTGTTACAGTCTTCTTCACTAACATTGATGAACAAGGTAATAAATGCTGTATTAAATTTTTCAGCATAAAGTAAGAAAAAAAGTGTATATAGACCTTTGCATTGGGCAAGGAAGACCAGTCTGGAAACCAGCATGTTCCTCTTTTCTGGCTAGCGCGCGATGGCGTGCAGTGCATGCGCTTGTGCTCAGACAAGTGGCATGGTTGTAAAACCATGCCGCAAACATATCGTGGCTGTAAAAAGGCCTAAAAGAGATATATACAACAAATGGAAGTTTGGTTCGTTTACTGGGGTGGGCAATGAGCTACATTTTGAAGTGGTAGGAGGTTAAAATAGATTAAACGTAGTTGACAAAAGATTAAAAATTGCAATGGTGTTTCGTGAAAATGGCACTATTGCCTCAACAGGTCCCTTGACCTCAAGGGCTTGGAGACATGCGCCTTTTAAACCTACCGCACCAGCAGCCTCTCTGAAAGAGGAATGGGAAACCAATATGCTGTGTTTGGTTGTTTTAACAGCTACAGAAAAAAGGAAACTGCCATCAATAAGACTTCGACATTCATCACCAAATGCGGAGCGTTTGTAGCCGTGGACTTTAAGTACGTCATTTTTGTTAAGCTACTGGTTTTAAATCAACAAATGCAGCAATATATCCACAATGCCCAGTGTTCCAAGTAGCCAAATGACAACTGGTTATGGCTAGAGCGCCCAACAAACGTAAGCTTCTGTTTATTATATTTTATTATGCGTTTGTTCTAACAATTAGCCTCCTAGCTTGGCTCAACAAGGCGATAGGTGCAGTTGAGTATTGGCAGAGTAACCCCTCTTTTTGCAATGGAGTAATCTTAGTCATAAATTAGTTTGTGCTACGTACTAACCTTTTAAACCCCAACATTCAATGAGTACTAATTGAAAAGGATGTTCCAAGATTATAATCATGAGGTTACAACTTTTCTAAAGACAGTGCGGTATATCATAGATGATATGCGATATGAAAGATGGATAGCAAACACGTTTTGTTGTTTTGTGCATAGAACAAATTTCTCTTGCTACTATGAGAAGACAATTTTTACATAGTCAAGCACCGTGCACGACGAATCGTACAATAATAGACAAGAATTGTTCATTCTCTTTTAAGCAACAAAACAAAAAGGATGTCACTACGCTTACTAGCATTTCTTGAACTGTTAATTTGGCTGCTTAGCCTTGTGGATGACAGTCAAAATTTCACAAAAACAGTAAATTTGGCTGACATAGTTATTAAAAAGAATAAGTACAAATCACCTCCAATGCCGATCTCACTGGTCGAAGAAACTTTCAAACCAAAGACCAAGAACACACACGACACAGCACTGTGTCCCTAACAGTTTTCACCTTATCTACGCTGAAGTAAATCAAATATCGCCACCCTCAGAAAAAGAGAGAAGAAACAGGTCATATGCCGGCATGTCAGCATCAGCATAGTTTTTATGTACCAGCATGTGTCTGCAAACAACTGTAGCTTTTCTACACCTTGAGGGCAATAAACGGATGAGTAACAAGAGGTCACTTAAAAATTGAGGAACAAGACGGACAACAGTTCGAGAGCAACACAAAGATGCCGTCATCGCCACAAATCAACACTGCGCACTCACGCATGAGTGTATGTACAAGCAGTAGTCAGGGAAAAATCATAAACAAAATGTGAGTGAAAAAACAAACTACAAAATTACAGTGATGGAAAAAATTTCATATTATGCCCAAAGGGTGCCAGTACTTGCTTGCCCTGCTAGAAAGAGTAAAAATATTTGTGCGTTTTTTCAGCATGATGACAACGTTAATAATGGATTCAAAGTCGGAGTCACTCCAGCAAAGTGAACTGGAACTCTGCATGATGCACTTCCTTTAACATGTTCTCCTTCTTGGGTGCACTGCAGGTAGTAGTTTGTTTTCGTGGTAATGGTGAATGACATGGATGATCAAATTGACAAATTGTGCAGCACTGCTGCTGCTGTTCGATAGCGACAGCTTTGAGTTAGAGAAAAGTTCCGGCACAAGTGATTCATTGGATAGTGACAACGACGTTGAAACTACTGTGCACGAGCATGCATTTGACAGCCGGGTGGAATAACTCTATGCAATATACTATGGGCAAATCGTCACTCGAAAGATTGAACTTCCGCTTCCACGTTTCTCCCGCAGCACGCGTTGCAAACGCGGATCCAAAATTGCTCTACGCCACAGTCAAGTGCTTGCTCATGGAGTTTGTCGGCTGGCCCGACTCTGCCATTGAAATTCAACGTAAACTAGCTTCCCCCCCCCCCCCCATTGAATGTGTCAACAGTCAGAAACTTGCAATATAGGGTGATCTATAAACAGGGTGTCTACCAATTTGCTTTTTAAAAATTCTCTGACTTTTCCAGGTTTTCTATGATTATTTAAAGTGAATTCCATGACTGTTAAGTCTGTGGGGAAAATTGTGCACTGGAAACAGACTCTCGAGTGGTCCAAGAAAATCAGGCACTGCTATAAAATAAGTAAACAAATGTACAAGCGATCACAATGTTCCGAGAAGGTGAGGTAAATATGAAAAAAAATATGCATATTTGGCCAAAATAAAGCCTGCTAGCCAGAGAGTAAGCAAGATGGCTGGTTAATGTTTCTAAGAAGCAGAAAGCAAACACATGAGTTAAAAACAGCAGATAAAAGTTTGAAGGAGCCCACAACAGCCCTACAATGCAGCCAAAGCTGCTATAAAACGTAGAAGTGACACCACCTTATGGCATCTGTGTAAAAAGAGAATGCCGGAGCCTAGCCAGTTCCACCAATGGAATATATTCTAGTTCACTATAATGGTTACAGGCCAGGCTGCTTAGTATGTCTATTGGAATATATAGACTTGTATTACTAACTTTACTATTTAGGATGTGGATTCGATTGGTTCTGATGCAACCTGGATTGCTGTATTTACTATTGATTTGCGTCCCCATTTAAGTTGCACACCTCTAGTATATACTTTTCAGCAAAAAAAAAAAAAAAAAAACACTACTCGCATATTCTGTTCGCCTTGCATTGAACAATGACTAACAATCTCGCAAGAGCGGTGCCGTACTATATGATGTTCCCCCTTTTTTTTTTTTCACGAAGAGCAAATGCATGTTGATGTTTTATTCCTCTGGGCTCTGACACTTAGAGTTCGACGAAGTCCTCAGATGCCTGCATTGAAAGCTAGAGGTAGCATTTAAAGTGATGACCTTTGAATATGTGCTGGCAAGAAAGAATCTGTCAGGGTGCAACAGCTCCCTTGAGTCCATAGATTCATCACAGGTGCCGGCGGGTTACCTCCATTTTTGTACTCTTGTTATATGAACATAACGCTAAAAAGTAATAAGAAATTTAATAATACTATCTCAAGATACTGAAATGAGAAATTTCGATGAAGTTACCCAACTCTACCCTTGAAACGCAAGCTAGCAGCAATAAGCGAGTAGCTGCGGACATTTGCCATTGCATCGCCAATAGTAATAATATTAGAAATAATAATAATAAAAGGCATGACATGACATGACATAGCCCGGCCCGGATTGCTAATGGCAATCCTAGCCGAACCAGAAGGCCTTAAAGCCGAGCCGAATCATGGTCAAGACAAGCATGCAGAAATTTAAAGATGCGAGCAATGTTGTGGTTCAAAAGTCAGATATGCTGTGTGATATGTAGAAGCAACAAACATCAAAATAGTGCATGTACCAACATGAAAGCTAAGGAACCCTTTAGACAACGTGAAGGACAAGTTGTCAAGCGAAAATTTCCACCGTCTTTTTTACTTTAAGCTGTCACGATTGTGACAACCAGTACATCAGTGAGACTACTGATTTCAAGGAAAGAGTTAAAGAACACGAATATGATGTAGGGAAACTATGCGTGACTTCATATGCCCTTCCTAAACAAGTGGAATCTACAGGCCACTAAACTGACTGGTCAAGTGCACGTGTTCTGGCCAAAGGAAAGCTTGCATCATGCCTGCACCTGGAATACCAGCACATGCAGACAAATGCACATATGCTGAACAGGAGTGAAGGGACACTTCCAACAATGTACTTCCAGTGCTTACATCACTTACTTAGGTGTACTAATATGCTGTGCCTTTCTTATGGCTATTGTTGCAAACAAGGCTCCCGTAGCGGGTGCCATGATGTCAGTGAACTTTGTATTCATTTGGTAGGTGTACCCTTCAGCGTCTTCACTAAGAAGCAACAGTTGTGCACTGCTTTTTTTTGCACATCTTTTAGCTGTTCACCGTAGTTGCAGCCGAAAGAGTCGCTTTGATTAAGAATAATGCTTGTATTTGTCACTATCGTGCAGACTGCCGTTAGTTTACATGACCGGGCCAGATTTTTCAGAAATTCCCCAATTTCAAATGCGTATCTATCTGTCTGTCTGTCTGTCTGTCTGTCTGTCTGTCTGTCTGTCCGTCCGTCCGTCCGTCTCCTCTTACGTTTGGGTGCTCTCGTGGTCACCACTTTAACTTGGCGTGAACCAAAATTAGCATAAGAGGGTAAGATGGTTTGACAAATATGACGTGCTTGTCAAAACATGAATAATGTCACGATGCCGTCGCATACCTCGTCAAACACTTCCTGCCAGACAGTGGCACATACCCACGGCTGGGTATGTGCCGCTGGTATGCAGATATGTGCCACAGGTGACTGACACTCAGTATCTGCCCAGGAACGACGAGAACACACATGGGCAATTTTAACGCACGAGCATCAAGAAATACCCGAGATCAGTAGTTTCGACCAGACGAATGCGAAGAATAAATGTCAGGGTCCCAGCTGGAATCGAACCCAAGTGCTCTGCGTAGCAACGAAGCATTTTACCACAGAGCTACGCCAGGTCTCGGAACTACTCTTCAAATAGACTCTAGTCTTCGTGAAACGTCAATAGTCGTTGCAGTGCTGCCTACCCAATTTTATAAGCACTACATATGTACTCCTTTGATACAGCCATCACATCGGGTTAATGCCAATTGTGGTTAGTTGCCATGCGCTGAAGTTGATTTATGTAGCAGTGTCCTGGGCCAGAATCCTTGCGAGCATCAGCGCTATATATCAGCTTCTGGTGTTGCTAATACGCATGTTTCAGTTGGCATCGTTGCACAAGCGCAAATAACTGGTTATATAAACATCTGCAACTTTTAAACATATGTCTGTGTGTGCAACATTTGTACATATATTTAGCGCCATTTCAAAACGTTTCGCGCAGAAAAAATTTCAACATGGTCACCTTCCCTGCGCATGCTTCGCATAACGTCGTTCCCTGGTACATGGGATCTGCCAAATTTTTTTCCTCACTTTTCCAGAAGGGTCCAAATTCCTGATTTATCCGGGTTTTCCAGGTTGGTAGACACCCCGATTAATGAGAAATTTTTCAGGAACACAGTTTATACCAGAAAAGGTTAAAGCTTGGGCGCATTGGTTCACGTACATAGTAAAAAACTTAGTGCTCTGTTCTATCTCCTCCCTTTCTTTTCTGTTGTTTTTGGGCTGTGTTTTCTTTTTACTTTGTTCCTAAACTGGAGACAATTTGAGTAAAACTGAAGAATAACCCCAAATGTGTAAAATTTGCCTTTCTTTGAGTTGGCAAGCATTCCAATATAAAGTTCAAAGAAGCAGTAACACTGTTGTTTCTCTCTTCGAAGAATTTCATGCAAGTGCACTCGTTTTTAAAGAACTGTGCCTCATTAAGAAGAACAAAAAAGTGAATCTAGTGCTCAACAATTCATCATATATGACACTGAATGACCCACAACGAAGTTCACCACTTTGCCTAAAAAAGCTCCACACGAAAATATGTGAAACTATCTAGCAATCAGCAACTTGGCAGTGAATGAGAAACTAGAAATGTGAACGTCATAATATCTACAAGTTATAAACACGCAGCTAAACCGAATGCTTTTTTTCCCAGTTTTCCTTTTTGTTTCCCTTCCAGCAATGTGAACTAGGCATGCATGCAACATCCTACCCGTGTGCGACACTAAAACCCTTTAGAGATGCAAATGAAAACGTGTCCGCACGTAACTATGTGTGCAAAATTTCATGAAATTGAAAGATGAACGATGAAGTTCGTCAGTGCTGCATGAATGCCTTCCTGATTTTTTTTTTTTTATAATGCCACAAGTTAACTCGGAATCCGCCAACTGAAACCAACGTGGAGGCCACCATGACAACGAAAAAGGAAATGCGGCGTGTAATGTCCTGGGCTTATGCGTTGGCAGCACAAAAGCGTCCTTCCTCGATTCTCCAAGGTCATCTAAGCACGGTGTGTGCCGTTATTCTTGGCGACGTGTCACGCCGAAACTGGTTGTTTCACCACGTGGACGGGCAAGGGCTACCGACAGAATCTTCATATCAGCAAAACAGGTTACAACGAAAGTCAACGGGACCGGCGGAGGCAAGTTTAAGTTAGCCGCGATAAAAAGATGCACAGGTGACAGGGCTTGTCATGCGAACACTTCATGATGACAAGCAGGGCGCTTCCCTGGACGACACTGTCAGGCTGCCGCACTGCTCGTTTATGCACGCTTGTAGACAACGAAGCCATCACCACTGCACATGCGCACACCCAATCACACTGCAATACAACACAGATGCGCGGAGAGCAGTTTATAGAACAGATGTTACGTGACGAACACAACGTATTTGACGCTATCAGTATTTGTGCAGACAGGAACTGCGGGTAAGAGCAAACTGCGCTGCAACGTGTCGATCATAGTGACCATATGCATGAGAAGAAACCTATGAACAGTTGTTTTGTTACCTGCTGGAGGATGGCCGCCTTTGAGCTCACTACAGTCTTCGACAGCAGACATTTCCTCAACTTTAGTGATGTATGACAAGCTATCGACCTGAGTAACTTCGTTACTACTTCGCCAGGAGAGTAATCAGAGTGCACAACAGCGCAAACGCTTAGCGATCGAGCTACGTTTCCTTGAGCTTCTCTTTATCTGCTCCGCAAATGCATTGTGGGTACGAACCAAAGCTGTAAACAAGTTGCTCGCTCGTTTGTTTACTTTTTGGTGCTTCATAAAGTTCATTTCTAGTGCATTGCCTAACAAGTAATATTAAAAAATTTTTTTGAGTTGTTTAAACTTTAAAAATGAAACATTTAAACCAGTAATAGAGAGGTATTGTTTTAGGTAAAACAAAAATTGAATTTTGTATGTAGCGCCACCTCGAATAGGTAGAGGTCACGCACGGAGGAAGGAAAGGACCTTTCCTTCCTTTCCTCTGTGAGGTCACGGTACAAGTTTCTATGGTATGAATGGTGGTAGGTGCATCATGTGCGTTGTTCAATGCATGTGACGTGGTTAAATTAATCGTTCAGTTCTACGTTACGACTTCGTTGACTCGCTGACAGCGTAGAAGATTCAGATGTTGGCAACGAGCAGGACTTTCATCGGCAAGGCGTTCAAGCCTCGACTGCCCGTCCGCTGGGCATCATATGAAGGAGACGGAAAGACCACAGTTTCGGTGCTCAACAAGGACAGGGGTGACATGTTACTCGTGGATTCCTATTCTACAGCCGGGTTCCGTTTGAACAATGGCCTCTTTGTTTTTGGCCCGATCGCCCTTTTCCCGAAAAGTGTCCTGCAGTGGAAAGTGAAGTCTCCCGACGACATCACCAAAGAAGCGTTCTCGTTGTTCACCTTGCTTGAACCGAAGATAGACGTTTTGGTGATAGGCCTTGGTGACAGCGGCGAAACGCTGGACTTGTCGTTGATACAGTATCTTAGAAAACGAAGAATCGGCGTTGAGGTGCATCCTACGTCTGTCGCGTGCCCAACGTTCAACTTTCTTAACGTAGAAGATAGAAATGTGGCCGCCGCGATGATACCTCCTAGGCGTGTAGCAGCTGGAGACGAAGTTTACATTAGTGAAGGAAGAGATCGAAGAACTCTTTTGGCTGCTGAGTAGAAGGTGTAGTTACTCAACGTGTATTCATTGAAATCGTCATTAGGCCGCGCGATGTGTAGCTGCATGTAAAAATAAACGAAATCTGCCAAACAGTAAACAAAACACGGTGCCCCATTCGTTTCTGGCTCGATGTTTTTCTTGTACAAATGCCAACTCGATGGTTACCTACACAATGCTGCATTAAATTCTATTCTAGTGTTGCATTCGTTGTTGATAAGACTGAATGTTACTAATTAGGATAAAAGGTCGATAAGGTGATGTCGTCAATGTGCGAAAAGTAAGTTCCAACTAGACTATACTGTTACGTGAAATATAAGCTCATTGTTAAAGTCGCCTAAGGTGCTGCAAAAACCAAGAAAGAAAGGCAGGATGTTGCGCTCAAGCTTTCCTGGTCTATGTAGTGTGCGCATGCTTCAGGATGAATGGGCACAAACTACTCCACCTTGTAGCTCACTCGATCTTTATAAGCAACACAATCGGCTCTTGCTGCCAACTACGAGTAGCCAATGTCAGAGAGATATGTAGGTAGCCATGTATTTTTTTCTGGATGGTGCCTTTAACATTTATTCCATTTTTTTTTCCATTTTGCACTGCTTATGTGTACCTTGTTATAGTGGGTTATAACAATTTTGTCACACAGTCCCACAGATGAGTGAAGTTGTGGCACACACACACGCCCAAGAAAATAAAAACAGAACATATAGTGACATTAAAGACACATTGAAATTATTTCTTGACTTCCAAAAAGGTCCATCTGGATTCGCCATAGGACACCTTTTGGTGTTGCACTTTCGAGTTTTTCTGCACCAATCTGGTTAATCTTTGAAAGTACCAAAAGCACTTTTTAATTTTTATTTTATAATAACTATTTCCTTATTCACAACAAAAAGCTTACAGGTGAGAGATCACAATATGGTAGCGTGGAAAGTGCCGTGAAACATTTTTATACGAATTTTTCTATATGCAGTGAATATGGCCACATGGCAACGCATGTTGCAAAGAGTGAGCGGTTAGGGCTCGAGCGTGGTGGTTTATTGCACATGCATGTACTCTGTGCATGTGCGCCGTGGCTCGACATAGGCCATTGGCAGCTGTGAAGGCAGCACTGCTTCTCACAGTGCAACTCCTTTTTTTTTTACCTTGTAAGAAGCACGAAATTCAGTGGGGCTGCATAATAATACACATACTCTAATTTTGAGGACTAATTATGGTGTGCATGAGAGTACAGACTACGTACCGCTAAGTCATTGACTCCACAATTCAGCTTCAAGGCTCTTCTGCTAGGCTGCACGACATACCGGTTTATGGTTACTCATAAACGAGATATAATAATGTAAATCCTACTAACAATGGGGAAAGGATGCCGAATCTGTCATTGTATTTCACGGTCTTTTTCATTTCTACCAGGATTTAATCAGTTGTTGAGGCCACTTGTCAGTCCCTTTACCAATTAACATACCAATAAGGACATCTTCAAGATGGCTGTGCGCTTGGGATGTAACACTTCTACCCAAGCATGACATTGCGTCTGTTCGGGGCAGAACCTGGTGAATGAAACTAAGCACTAAGAAAGGAAAGTTTATCTTCATAATCCAATTACCTTATCAATTGCCTGCTATCCTGACGACAATCCCAGTCACAAGCGTTAGTGTCCTCTCATATTGTGCTTTCAACCCCCCAAACCCCACAGACTATTGAGTAATAGTACCCTGATTTAAATATTTTGGCATCAACATCATTACACTTCATGCTAAATGCTTGCATCAAACTCATTATTAGCAGTGGCAGCAGAATGGTCGCACATTCTTGATAAATTTTTTGCATCCCCCTCGGAGATTTCAAAGTAGTGCTTTATAGAATTCTTCACTGTCGGAACCTGGAATATACTTTCTTTGCCGAGTTCTACATGCTACATAAAAAAAAAGGGTTACATGTTACCATTGCATACTTCCATTCAAAACTCAATTGATTTTAGTTACCATGCAAGTACTATCCACGAATCTAATGGAGGAGTTGCTGACAAGTGAGGTATCCTCTGTATTACAGCCTCCCTGCCTTCATTCACCATATATAAATGCTGTAACTATAGTATCTATGCCCGACTACTTCACTGCATGCCCTGCACTGCTTCACACTTTGATTATCATCACAAACAATATCTGTTTGTTGTCCTCGCTCATTTCATTTCGAAAGATCAGTAGCTACACTGAAAACCTAAATATATGTGCATCCTGGGCAAAAGGACATAGCTTACGAGGACACCTTGCGTAGAAGACTGTGGTTATGTTGCCATGATAGTTGCATCTTGGCCCTCTCAAAAATGCTGCACTTAATAGTTCCTTGAGGATGGTGCTCTCAATAGGCCCAATGAAAAGTGGCCATCACTAGCAAGCCCTGTTAGCACTGCTGCGATAAGTACAGAATGCCCAAGTTTGCTGTTCAACCCACGCAGCTGCTGGTGACACTACCATGGGCATTGTTCTGTATTACCGCAGTTTTAGAAGCGAAGCTCCTTATGGAATCACCTATTCGTCTCCCATTATCATTTGTAACCACCGGTGGCACATACTCGAGAGGGCAGGTTTGTGCAACAGGGTATAGACTTTTAGGGGCGAAGCTCCTTAAGCCGTGGGTCATGCATCCTCAATGTATGTAGTAGGTAGCCATCTCTCTAGTTCTTCGAATGTCCCCTAGGTGGCGGTACTTGTAAATAATGAATATATGATGAAAAGATGTGAGATGGTGGTACTTGGAGTGTTTACTAGACGTACAGACACACGGACAGATCGACCCACGGTTGGATGAACGAACGGATGCTTCGCTCCACTCATCATCATTCAGTCCGTGGATATGCTGTGATTTTTTTTTTTCAAACTCAAGTACGCTGAGGTGCATTAAATAAGGTAAATGATTAATAAGTAGATGACTACACAAAAACATAATATATTTATGGTGAATGTCAGTGATTAGAAAAAGCAATGAATATGCTACAAAACCATAAAGTATGTCGCAGATTACGCATAATTACATCTAATTCATCACACACAAGTCTGCACCTTTATTTGAGAACTGTTTTGCAAAACGGTCCGAAATAGCCTGACACTTTTTATTCCTTACTATAGTGTCCTTACTATAGTGTCCTTACGATAAGTTATTGACTTGAAATCTAGCTTTCAACTATCATTCCTCACATACCATCATAAGACTTTGTTCATGCCATTTTTGCTATATACATAATCATCAATGAAGTGTGTAATAAATTCATCAGTAGTCGCCAGACATAAAGGGGAGCATAACCAGATCGCACGATAAATTTGGTTAATTCTTTAAAGTTGCATGTTTCCACCTGTGAAGCAATTTACTGAAATCTGTTAAATATTGCTAAAGGATATCGAACTGTGTTGTCATCATACGTCCAGCAAGTGAGCTTTACTGCCAAAGCCGGCAAGCTTCCCATTTGCTTCGGCAAGCATCCACACTCTTTCAAGTGTGGAAGGAGAGAGAGTACATCATGTGAATGTGATGAGCCCTGCTTGCTTTATTTTTCTATTTTTCTCCTCTGCACACTAGAAGTCTCTACATTGGATGAAAAACCAAGGTCACGTGCCATAATCAGTGACATCCCACGGCCAATCTAGAACAATCTGGATGCGTACACATGACTCCAGACCAGCCATGGGCATAGAGGTTGTGATTTGGGCATATGTGCATGTGATCTTTCACTCTCACAAAGAAGCTCCCATGAGAGGGAGGGTTTATAGCTTCTTGTTTTTAATTTCGATTGGTTTTGCACCATGTCAGTGTTTTATAATAATCTATGCTTTGCACTTGTTTGCCTTGTCCAAACCTAGTGAGTGGCCATTTAAATGTATCAGTCTCATTCTGTAAGACTTTTGGCTTCTTTAAGTCATTCCTTAGAAAAAAAATTTGAGAGTGGGGCTACCATCCTGCGCTTACAATGGATAAGTAACAGACTACTTATATTTCAAGAGGAATTTATTTACTTCATTCATTATAGTTTGTTCTTCTTTCATTCCTTGATTTTATGATTTGT